AGTCCTTTTAAAATTTCCTTTAGAGCCGGGCGTGGTGGCACATGCCTTTAGTCCCAGCACTTGGGAGGTCTCATAACTTGCTCAGGTTAGTACTGAATTTTTAATCTTTCTGCCTCAACTTACTGAGGTGCTAAATAGAGAACATTTTAATAGTTTTTTTTTTTCCTTCTGAGACAGGGCCTCCTGTAGCCCAGACTGGCCTTAAACTCACTATGTAGCCAAGAATAACATTGAACTCCTGATCTTCCTCCTCTACCTCCCAAGAGATGGTATTACAGGCATTTGCCACCATGCCTGGTTTATGCAGTGCTGGGGATAGAACCTAGGGCTCTGTGCATGCTAGGCAAGCACTCTACTAATGAGCTACATCTCCAACCTCCTGGTTAGCTCTTTGTTAAAGAAGTTATCTGCCACACAAACGCATAATAGAGGTATATCAACATCTGGTAGTTAGGCCAGGTGGTTTCTGGGGTATGTATCTACAGAACACAAGTTCACTAATGATGACCCATGTGCTTGACATTCATAATCTGTGGTAACTATGAACTGACAGCATAGGGTTTGACTTACTACTCGGAACTGTTCTAGCTTCTGGTTGCCTTTGATAAAGAACGGACATTCTTTGTCGCCTGTTCGATGGCCATACCGTTTGCAACGCCAACCTAAAATCAAAGAGAAAAATTCTGTAAGATGACATAGTACCTCATTGGAATAGTGTTTCAGTAGTTTTTCAGCCAGGTGTGGTGGTGCACACCTTTAATCCCAGCACTTGGAAGGCAGGGGCAGGTGGATCTCTGGGAGTTCGAGGCCAGCCTGGTCTACATAGCAAGTTCCAGGCCAGCTGGGGCTACAGCAAGACCCTGCCTCAAGAAGACCAAAATAAAGGGGGCTGGAGAGATGGCTCAGTGGTTAAGAATACTGGTTGTTCTTGCAGAAGACCTGGGTTCAAATCTCAGCACCCACATGGCAGCTAACAACTGTCTGTAACTCCACTTCCAGGGGATCCAACAGCCTCTTCTGTCTTCCTCAGGCATTGCACTACATGTAGGCAATACACGCATACACATAAAAATAATAAACAAAATATTAAAAAAAAAAACAACAAAAAAAAGTTTTTCATTAGACTTCAATTCTGAGTGAAAAGACAGTCAATGGATGAAAACATAAAGTCCCAGAACATAAAGGTCAACTAACTTCTTCCTCAAGCACCCTCAACTCTTGTCACTTTAGGAATAAACTTTTCATCAAATATTTATGAAGCAAATGAATGCAAAAATTTTCACAAAATATGAATTTACTTTTAGTGTGTCTCACTATTTTTTTTTTTTTTTGGTCTTTTTGAGACAGGGTCTCTCTGTAGCCCCAGCTGTCCTGGCACTCACAGAGATCCACCTGCCCCTGCCTCCCAAGTGCTGGGATTAAAGGCATGAGCCACCATGCTTGGCTCACACTCAAACACTTTTAAAAAATAAAGAGTAAATCTTTTTGAAGTGGCTCTGATTCTGATAGATAAGAGTTCAGGTTCCTAGCTGGGCGTGGTGGCACACACCTTTAATCCCAGCACGCAGGAGGCAGAGGCAGGCGGATCTCTGTGAGTTCGAGGCCAGCCTGGTCTACATAGTGAGTTCCAGGCCAGCTGGGGCTACAGGAAAACCCTGTCTCAAAAAGACCAAAAAAAAAAAAAAGAGTTCCCTACGAAAGCATGGCTTAGCATGCTCAAGGCACTGGATAAAATCTCCGGCATCACTAGAACAGATACCTTTTTTTTTGAGAGAGTATGATTGTGTAGCTCGGGCTCACATTCCTTGACTTAAAGGATCATTGCCTCTCAGGTGCTGGGACTACAAGGGCACACCACATTACCAAGTTTAGATCCTTAAGTTTAAATAAACAAAATAATAAATTCTCTTAAAATGTTAATACCATCAGGACCACAGAATAACCTTAGCCACAGAACAAAGAAACTGTCCTGTTTAAACAGGTTTAGGAGTTGACATAAAAATATAAACATGTTTCATGTGGACAAAAGTAAGCATACAACGCAGAGGCACTTGACTGAATACGGACTTGGATTTGGTGTTGCAGCCTGAGGAAGGAGTGTTTAACGGGAATGATGCGATCCCTGCTACTTCTCTCACCTCTTTTCATCATCCATCCAAACCAGGAAGCTGACTGGGGATGGTAAGCTCAGTGAGAGCCTGTGTTTGGATACTGACCAAGGAGGTCAGGAAGCAAGAAGAGACTGCTGGACAGCTCACCTGATTAGTCTGTGTTGGCAACTACAGAAAACACGTAGTGAAAGGAAGGTCTTAGTGATGCACACCTGTGAGTGTGAGTCCATGCACCCACTCGGAGGCTACGATGCCAGGTGTCTTCCTCTATCTCTTGGTCTTGTTGCCTCCAGACAGGTCTCTGACTGAATCAGAAGCTCACCATTATTTGGCTAGACTGGCTGGTCAGCAAGCTCTCAGGATCAGCCTGTCTCCACCCCCAATGCTAGGGTTACAAGTACATGAAGCCAGCTGGGGATGGTGGCACACACCTTTAGTCCCAGCACTTGGGAGGCAGAGGCAGGCGGATCTCTGTGAGTTTGAGGCCAGCCTGGTCTCCACAGCGAATCCAGGCCAGCTGTGGCTACAGGGAGACCCTGTTTCAAAAAGACTCAAAGAAAAAAACAAAAAAACAAAACAAGTACACAAAGCAATGGACAAGGCCCTGGGTTTGATCTTTACTATCTCATGCCAGCTGTGGCTACAGGGAGACCCTGTTTCAAAAAGACTCAAAGAAAAAAAAAAAAACAAAACAAGTACACAAAGCAATGGACAAGGCACTGGGTTTGATCTTTACTATCTCATACACCTATACACACACACACACACACACACACACAAAAAGAGGTATGAAGAAAACAAGCCAAATTGAAGAAGTTATGCCACTGAACTGTGGTATGTAACTTGTGAGGATTGAGGAGTCCTATGGTTTGTCCCCCAAAGGTCCATAGTGCGGTGATGTAGAGATGGTGGAGCCTCTAAGAGGTGGAGCTTAATAGCACTGTATTAGTCATGGGGACTAAACCCCCAAGAATGGTGGTGTAGGTCATGTCTGAGTAATCATGTGAGAATGGGTTGTTATAGAGAGTATGCCTGTCTCGAGTCACTCCTTGCACATGGAGCCCCTTCTGTACATAACCTGCTCTCTTCCAGCTTCTTTGCCCAGATGATGTAACCCAGGAACACATGCCAGGATACTGATGCCAAGCTGTTTAGACCCTGTAGTCGCCAGAACCACGAACCAAATAAATCTCTTCATGAGTTACCCACCCTGGTATACCTTGTTGAACAACAGAAAATAGACCAACACTGAAACTCTTCCCTACTTACACTGCATGACTTTGACTTCTTTCCCCAGTGGCATCCAAAGTCCTTTAGTTGGTGCATGAGCCAAAAACTCCCTTGCATGTTCATTGCCAGGTACATCTGGTATACAGTCTTCTGGTTTAGTCTCATCTTCCTAAATGAAGAAAACAACGTACGAACAACATGATCCCCACCATCCCTCCTGCTTAGGAGGTTACCATTGTCAGACTTTTTGCACTGCGGGACAAAATGTCATTCATTCGTGTTTGTTTTTTTGAGACAGGGTCTCATTATGTAGCCCTGGAACTTGATATGTAGACCACGCTGGCCTCAAATTCCCAAAGATACTCTTGCCTCTGCCTCCAGAGTGTAGAGATTAAAGGAATGCACCATCACACCTGACCTGATAATGTAATTCTTAATCACATCCCTCCATGAACTAGAGAGATACAAGTTATACTCAAATACCCTGATAGTGTAGCCATGGAGCTGCAGAGGTTCCCTGTCCAGGAGGTGGCAATGGATGCCCTTTTGGGTCCCTTCAGAGGCTTTCTGAGCTGAGGACACTCAAGACCCAACCCTAGGTGTATTGAGGAGCTGGCCAAGTGAGGCAGACAATCAAAATGGACAGCAAGGCTTCAAGAAGACGCAGCCACAGAAAGAGAAAGGGGGCCGTGCCTAGGGACTCCTATGTTCCTTAGGACAGAGAAAGATGGCTGATTAAGTTTCCAGAAAGACACAGGCCTGTGACAAAGTCAAAATAGGACTCATTGGGCATGTATAGGGAAGTGTTTTCATATAAGAAGATTTTAAAATTACACAGTCACTTTTTTCTAGCAAATTACAAAATCCACAACTACACTTTATAGAGTAAACAAGAGTACAATCTCTACACTTACCTTGATAAGCCCAGGAGGAGGCTTCTCGTAACTGCAAAATCAAACACAAAAAGCAGTGTTCATCAAACGGGTCAATGGAAATACCACACACCTACATGAAGGGGCGGCTTTGGGTCAGTGATTTCAGTAACAGGAAGTTTTCACCATCGGACCTGGCAGAATCTCCTCACAAGCCTCCCTGCCATGCTCTGTGCACCATCAGACACTGGCCCGGTCCTCCTTATTCCTTTCCAGGGACTGCACTCCCAAGATACCCAGGCTGTGACGGTTGGCTGGGAAGTTTGTATTTGGGGCAAGTAGCTTGATAGGAAGGACACTGTGTGCTTGGAGAGCAACACCATAGAGTGATACAGGAACATTTAGCTCAGATGTATACCTTACTTCTCTAAACCTCCAGGAAGTATGATTATCTCTAAAACAACGAAAAAAAATGAAATGCTTAATGTTCTGAGACTCTTTTTATGCAGAGTTTAAGGAGTCCTTCAGAAGGAAAAGACATTTAGGTAGTCAAGAACAGACTAAGGGGCAGTCAGATGATTTTCCATTTCCTCTTCCCTAAGATGTGGGAGAAAACAACCTGGTGGAGGATGGACTAGAAATGTTATTAATCCCAAGTCTTTCCATGAGTCAGAGGAAGATCTGTCCCTGAAGTTTCCATAGTAAATGGAACTGGGTCAGAACATAATTAGCTTCTCAGATTTGACCCAGTGCATCTTCCAAAGCAGACATTTAACATTTTCAAAAGAAAAGCTATGGTATATAAGATGATACTATACAGCAGTCTCTACTGCATGAAATAACTACCATCATCACAACTTCAGCTGTGCCTGATTGCTAAACATCCTCACAATTGGGCTTGTTGACAGTTCTGCTCCTTCATTCCTTCATTAAAGGAGGGCCATGCAGGGTCATTGGACCCTCACCAGAGTATCCAGCCACTCTTCCCAGAAAACTGTATGTAATTTGGCCCTAATCATGTATGGTCTCCAGGATTTGGGGAGGGCTAAAGTACACAATCTGGGGAAGGCTATGAAGAGAAGCTATGACCCATGCTTGGTAAAGGCTTTCCAGTGTGCATACCCTCAGGTCATACATACACCTCAGCAACCCCTTAGTTATCTTCCTAAGTAAGCTCAGTAAATTCATTGGTTCCCCAGTAAAACTTTAATCAAACATTGGCTTGACACTAGAACCTTAAAAGGGAATAAGCATTGTTTAGTATCCCCAGGAAAAGAAGTCTCACAACAGAGGGAAAATTTTTTTGTTAATACTATTATGTCTCATAATTATTAAAAAAATAAAAGCTGGGTGTGGTGGTGCACACCTTTAATCCCAGCACTTGGGAGACTGAGTCAGGCGGATCTCTGTGAGTTCCAGGACAGTTGGTGCTACAAGGAGACCCTGTCTCAAAAAGACAAAAAAAAATTATTGAAAAAAAAAAAAAGAAAATGAGAATGTAAAAGATGTTAAAATGATATAGGAATGGAGATATTTTCCAAAATAGAAAAAATGAGAAAGCCTAAGCAATTGATGAAGGTCTGTGTAGGTTTATTATGATATATAAAGGATGAAACAAAAATAATATACACATAATCTTAAAATTTTCTAAGGTCATAGTTTAGTCAACTAATTTAAGAAACAAATATATCTAGTCAAGGTTTATCTGAGAAATTTTTTTTTTTCGGTCTTTTTGAGACAGGGTCTCCCTGTAGCCCCAGCTGTCCTGGAACTCACTACGTAGACCAGGCTGGCCTTGAATTTACAGAGATCCACCTGCCTCTGCCTCCCAAGAGCTGAGATTAAAGGCGTGCACCTCCACACCTCAAATATCTGGTTTTTTACCCAAGATTTATCTACATAGCACATGGTAATTAAAAGTACCAGACTGGTAGAACTAACCTTATTGGATATTTAACAAACATACTTTGAGGCCTATACTAATATGGTTAGAGGGACTTAAAGGACAATTTTTGCCCCTTGCCCTTCAAGGTTGACTAAGTTCCAGGGGACTATGGAACATCTCTCAAAAGGTCCTGTAACTGTGGTGAGTCACCTGTCCTCTTGTTCAGGGAGGCTGTGGAGACCCCATCAGATGGACCTGAACCAGTGTCCAGTCTGCAAAGAGGAGGGTCAACTCAGAGGAAACATCTCATCCATGCTTCCAAGTGAAGCCAGATATGGTTGAGCAGGACCTTTGACTTATCTTCACATAGGTGGAACTAGTAAAAGAAAGGATCCAGGGGCTCCTCCCAAGCCCATGTGATCCCTGAGGAACAGAGCCTCAAATAACCTTAAGTGTAAACATAAATTGATTTATTTGGGACAATTGTATGGTCTTAAACACCCAAAAGGAAAGTATAACCAAAGAGTAAAGTCATCAGTATATTTTTTTAAGACTTCAAGGGATTACACTTCCCAAATATTAGGCTTAAGTCTATATAAAAAGTTATTAGACAATTATTTCTCATTGATGATTTTGTTCCTAACCAGAAAGTGCTGCTCAGTCAGATACAAGACTTCAAA